AAAAAAAAAAAAAAAAAAAAAAAAAAAAAGAAAACAAAACAAAATTCATTGCTTACAGTTTTGGAGGCTGGGAAGTCCAAAGTGCAGGGAACACATTTGGTGGGGGCCTTGGTGGTGGTGTCAGTGACCCAGGGGTCTCACATGGCAGAAATGGTGGAGCAGAGAGGTGGCTCCTCATGCTTGCTCCTTTTAAAGCCCTCAGAACCATGCCCTTTATTCCAAGAATGGATCAATCCATTCAGGAGGGTGCAGTCCTCACAATCCAATCACCTCTTCAAGGCCCCAACTTTTTTTTTTTTTTAAAAAGATGACGGGTAAGGGGATCTTAACCCTTGACTTGGTGTTGTCAGCACCACGCTCAGCCAGCGAGCCAACCGGCCATCCCTATATAGGATCCGAACCCGTGGCCTTGGTGTTATCAGCACCACACTCTCCCGAGTAAGCCACGGGCCGGCCCAAGGCCCCAACTTTAAATTACGATAATAGGATTAGGATTTCCCACCCTCAACAGTTACAGTAGGGACTAAGCTTCAATGAGTTTGGGGGAGGGACATTCAATCTACAGCAGGTGGGATGATGGTATACAGCTATTGTTTCTCAATAAGGATCTTTTTCTTTCTTTTTTATAAGTACATTCTAAGATGTTGTGAGAAGAAGGGTGGGGGAGGGTTGGGGCTGGCCCACAGCTGGCTCCATTGCTGGCACAGTTGTGGTTGGTGGTGAGCAAGCAAATGCCCATGGCCCCTGCCTCAGGACCCCAGGAACTTCTGGCTCTGGCTCCAAATAAGGATCCTTTTTTAAGGAAATATATGCTGAGACATTTATGGTTGAAACATCACAAATTTGCTTCTAAGTTTCTGAGTGTGGGCTGACCAGTTAGCTCAGTTGGTGAGAGCACAGCCTTGTACTACCAAGGTCACAGGTTCGGATCCCGTACCGAGTGTGTGTGGGGAAGAGGTGGGCGTGTAGATGAAAACAGTTCCAATTCCACCGGAGCTGATAACTGATGAAGTTAGAGGGTAGGTTCACTGGGGTTTACAACACAATTCCACTTTGGTGTACGTGGTGGGCGGCCTCCAAGATGGCCCCAAGGCCCACCTAAAGGGGCTCACGCCGAGCGTCGTCCCCTCCCACACCATCCCAGGTTGGTCCGTGTGACCCACAGAGTGCAGGGTGATGGCAGGCCCCCTGGGGATTAGGTTGCAGAAGACACCAGGGGCTCTGTCTTGAGTGTTTGCTGGTTCTTGCTCCCGCCCTCTCTAAGGCCTCACTTGGGTAAAGCCACCTGCCCTGTTGAGAACAGCCTGAGGACGGAGAGCCTGGGGGCTGTGGGTGGGAGGACTAAATCCTGCAGCCACCAGCTTCCCGGATGCGGAGGTCACCTGCCCACAGCTATGGGCACAGGCTGGGAAGCCAACCAGACACCACAGCCCTGGAGGCCTTTTAGGAGACCTGGAGCAATAACCACCAGCTGAGCTGCTCCGTGACCCTCAGAAACCGAGTGAAATAATGAATGTTGGGTTTTTTGGTTTTTGGCGGCCGGTACAGGGATCAAACCTGTTATCTGCACCACCCTCTAACCAACCCAGCTAACCGGCCAGCTGAATGTGACTGAAGCTTCTAAATTTCACGGTACATTTTTACACAGCAATAAATGACTAATAAAATATACATTTGAAATTTTCCACAATAGAGACTTTTTTTAAGCACTTGGTATCCAAAACAGCCGCCTCCTCATGCAGCTTGGTCAGTGGTCGCCTTAGGGTTACCGGGAGGCCCAGGGCAGCCGGGCATGTCACAGCCGATCGGGATGCTCTGCCCTTGGCCAGGCTGGACTTTCTGCACATCGCGCTGGCAGCGTGATTCTTAGTCACGGAAACTCACAAACACTCCTCAACATGGAGAAAGTCCCCAAAGCCACCGCGATCGGTCCTGCGCCTGAGTTCTGTTTCCAGAAGCGCCCCCGGGCTCACTCCGAGAGGGTTCCCCGTCGGAGACAGGCCCGCCGGCGCGGAGCTGTCACTAGGAGGTGGGTCCCTTGGACGTGACGGTCCCCGGCCCCGCGTGGTGCAGGAAGGCCCCCGGCCTAGCGACTGGGCGAGGCCTACTTCTGGGCTGCGGCGGGCCCCAGGCCGAAGCGACCGTGTCATCCGTTCGCGGCGCCAGGCGCTCTTCGTCCCGGAGATTTGAGGGACTCCTCGGGGACACGGGAGCGCCGCCCTCGAGAGTTCTGTCTGGAGATTCGGTTTGGAAGGACGAGCCCGGCGCTGTGCCGCCGCGGGCCCGGGGCGCGACCGCCTGAGCGCCTCAGTCCGACCGCAGGGACGGTCCGGGGGCGGCGGGCG